GCTGCTACTCTCTGCCCAATTTCAGCTTGCTTTATAGGTTCAACAAAAGCTTAAGCAGGGAGTTTTAAAATGCAGCAAGCTTCTCACTTCTTTGATCTTATCTAACGTGAAGCTTTCCACAGGTAGACTGAGCTCAGGGTGAAATGCTGCGTCAGAGATGGAAAGAGCAGCTGCTGATTACTGGCAGTTACTCCAGAACTAATTGAAATATGCTCAGATTGAGAAATCCTTGCCAGATCAAGAGATTGACCTTGCAAGCTCTTTTTATGTGGGTAATCCTTGCTCTGGCAGGATGTCCCTTAGCTAGGGCTGTGCTGGGAATGGACCTGCGAGAGCAGCTATGGTCTGTGCAAAGGGATGCACAAATGCAAATGGAGGTGGGACTCGGACCTAACATGGCCACAGCCATGAATCAGTTTGGAGCTATCTATGCTGCAACTGTAAAGTCATCAGCCAGCACGCACTGCTGCCAGGACCACCACAGGTGAGAAGATAATTAGATCAGCCAGCAACAGCCACTCCCGCAAGGTATGGCCAAGAGAGAAAAAACATCGTGTTTTAAGTCCAAAAGAAAAGTGAGAGGTTGGTTTCCCTAAATTCAAAGAGAAACAGTTTTCCCCTCATAAAAAAATACTATAAAGATGAAGCCACTGTGGTGCACTTCTAGGAGGGCACATGTAAGGCCACCGAGGGCAGCTGGCATGGGATGCATGAACCCCAGTGGCACAGGTGCAGGTGGTGACGGGATCACTGGGAGGTTTGCTGTGCCTGGGGACAGGGTCTGGTGCTGGAGTGGCATTGCCCCTGTCCCTGCCCTTGCAGCAGGGTCCAGCCAGGACAATCAGACTGCCATGCCCTGCTGGCTCCCTGGCCAAGGAGTGTCAAGCGGGTCTGTCTTACCTGAGACTCTCTCGTTGCTACTGTGACCTGCCAGGTGGGCTGCAACCGGCTGTCTCTTCTCTGCTGCAATTTGGAAAGGCTGGTGTTAGCAAGGCCATGGCACTCCCTGTCCCCTTCCAGGCAGCACAGCTCCTCTGCAGGGACCACCTCCCACCCTTCGTATTTCTCCATGGGCCAAACCCAGCTCAGAGACATGGTCTCCAAAGTCTCCTCTGTCAGCCTTGGGTGAGGCAGGATCTGGCCTCTGCTCACCCAAGATGCTCAGTTGCCTCCAAAGTGAAGCCCCTGAGGGACAAAGCCCACTGAGGCAACCATGCCACCTTGCTCACTGTGGGAACAGGACCTGGATGTGCCACTCCTTACCTTCCACCAATGTCTCGTTCTTGTGCATCAGACGGGGATGGTCACGGTGCTCATGGCCTATAATGTGAAAAGGCCACGGATTAATTTTTTGATCCATTTTCCTCAACTTCAGGCAATGTGGCATTCAGAGCCAGCTGCCCTGGTGTGACAACCGTGCCCAGTGCCCCCCTCTGCCGTGCCCTGTCCCACCCCCGTGGGATGCTCCAAACCCTGACCCCATTGCCTGCCTCCGTGCCTGCCTGGGGCACTGGTGGGCTGTTGCAGGGTGAAGGGAACCCCTGCCCAGACCAAGCTACTCCACCTGCCCCCAGCAAGCTATGGTTGTATTGGCGGCACCAGAAAACTCACCTCTCTGCATTTCAAATTTGGCCTCCCCCTTGTTGGTTTCTCCATCCTGTAACAACAGAAAAAATAAATAAATAACGTTTTGGGTTTTTTAAGATGTAAAAATCAATACTTTTGAAAGCCTTTGTGTAGAGGACACTCTGACCACCACTTGGGTTGATGCTGTTTGGCTCTGACAGCCCTGCCAGCTCTCATAGGAGGGTACCCAAAAATTGCTGAGCCCTTCCAGCACCTTCCCCACCACCACATACAGCTAAATGGGTCTGCACAGCAGGGGGTTTGTAGGCTTTATTTTTTGCAATGAATATTAGGTGATGAGGCAAGTTTATCTGAAAAAAAAAAAAATTAAATAAACAAACAAAACTACCTTTTCAGGTCATTTAAACCCATGCTGGATAGTCCAGTCCACGCCGGGCACTGCCTCTGCTGCCTACAGAGAGGGGCTTTCAGAGCTGTTGAATGAGGCCCATCTCAGATACAATTTGCTGTTGTCACTTGGGTGCTGATGCAAACCTGAAGGCATTTGATGTCATCAGGCACTGACAATGAGAAATTAATGTCCCCCTCGTGCCTGCTCTGGTCAGCATAGCTCTTCCTAGATGCAGAAATCAAGGACTGAGAGCAGCTTGTCTCTGGCTGCAGCTCCATCCCTCCCACCACAAGCTCTGAGCATCCCTGGGCATGCTGCAGCTGGACCTGCTCTGATTGAAACCATTTTGAGAAAAAAGGGGATGAGGTTTTTCACTCATATCAATATAATGTAAAAATACAGTGTAAAAAGAATATAGTGTAAGAAAGGGCATGTGGCATGGAGCCCCAAGGTAAAGGGCAGGCATGGTTTTAAAATAACACCTTGAGTGAAGCCGTGTGTGCCTGGAAGCCCCCCCTGCACCTTCAGCAGGGTCTTTATCCACCAAACAGCAGCATACCTTGCACTGGAGGTCCTTGAAGCCCTTTAAAATCTTTTCACAGTCCAATAATGTCGACTTCTGACCTTCTGCTGTCTGACATTTCTGTACTTTCCTCAGGAAGATGTAATCTTCATTTAAGCTCAACACCTCTTCCATCTGCCAGCGGGGGAGAGAAGAGAGGGTGAATGGGATGCTCTTGGGAAACCTGCAATGCCAGCAGCAGAGCCAAGCTGTATTCCTGACCGTGATAAATCACAGCCTGGAAAGCTTGGGGTTGGTTCAGCACTGGGATGAGCAGGGCAGAAACGCAGCAGGTACCAAATGCTCCCACCAGCTCCAGCACAACATCTGCACCCGCGGACACCTGGGATTGTACCTGCAGGGCTGACTCTGGTCGGTAACACTATATGTGAGGAGGATGCTCAAGATCCCTTCCTATTTTCTATCACTTTGATAATGAATTTTAATTATCCATTCTGCCTTTTCCAAAAAGCAGGTGGCAGACACCTGCCTGCATTTACAGACAGCAGCACGGGAACCTCAGCGCGCGGTTCAGGGCTCGCTGCGCTGCCCCAGTGGCCCTGGCGGGCGGCGGGGATGCTCGCTCAGACTCATTTTGCTCTGCAGGGTGGCTTTTCACGGTCTTTAGGCTAGATTATTGACTAAAAGAACTGCCAAAGAGACCAAAATGACTTGTTGGTTGGGGCTGAGTTCTGCCAAGAATTTCAGATTTTAAAAATCAGATAAAAAATAAAATAAAAATCAGAAAGCCAAAACAAACAATGAGTAAGTAGATGGGTAGATAGAGAGCACTGATTTTTGAAACTACACCTGTTTTTTTATAAAAATCTAACATTCAGCTAAATGGAAAAGAGAAGAGCAGTTACACATGAGGACAAAGCCTGGCAGAGTGCTCTGTGCAGGCAGTGCTGGGATGCAGAGGGTCATGTTTGAAGCCCTGCCTTGAGCTCTGAAGGCAGCTGAAATCCTCCTGCCACCATTTAGCTGCCTCTGATCCTCTGCCACAGCCCTGTGCAGTCGCACTTCACTCTGCTGGGTCAGTCCCTCCACTCAACCCTTCTCCCCAGGCTGCAAACCCAGTGCACCAAAGTCCCCTTCCATCCCCTCAAGTTAATAAGCCCCTCTAGCTCAGGATTGCTCTCCTTGAAGATCAGTACATGCCCACTTAAATGTCAATTTAAGATGAGACAACATGTTTAAAAATCAGTAATGATGATCTTATAATTGTATCTGATAAGGAGAACTCGTTTGGGGTTTTAGACATATTTCATTTCCTTAGTGTGTAGTCTTTTCTGTTCTGAAGAAAATAGCTTTAGATCAGTGATTTTAAGCATCACTCAGTGTGGCTGCAGTCATGGCAACCTCAAAACCAGCTTTTCAGTTCTTAAGTTTTTGGTAAATGTTGTCCCAAGTGTGAGGCAGCATCACCAATAATGTACCTCTTCAAAAAAATGGCAAAGTACTAAGATTTATTAATTTCCTCTCAGGCAGAAAGAATCTGAAGAGATGTTGGTAGAGTCCACATGTATAAACAGTAAAAACAAAAATAATAATAATAATAAATTTCATTTCTGGACCCTCCATCCTTGCAATTACTGTCACAGTGCTGTCAGCACCAGAAAAACTACCAAAGAGCCTAAAATAGACACCTGTTCAAGCCTCACTGTCTTCTCCCCAGACTGGCCATCAGCTGCCAGGTTTGCTATTAACAGCTCTTCTTGATCGATCTGTTCTAGTTTTGTTACTGAAGGAAACAGGTCTCTTCCTCACTGTACATCTTAGGGACAAATTAAAGTAGAAACGGGAACATGGGTGTTATAAATGCCACTCCCCTGTCCATCCAGTGGGCAGCATAATCTACCACGTTCCTCTTTTTGGTGAGCACCTCTCACCAGGGCTGAAGGCAAATTGTGTTAGCGATCCAGCAGAGACAGTTTTACTTCTCCACTTACCTTATCCATCTTCATGTGAAGATACAAACAGAAGAGCACGGTTCCAATTGTCTGTGCTACAATAAATACAGCAAGAAAAGCCATGAACATCTTCATGGTGCTGGGCGAGGTGCTGCTGATGGGTCGGGCTGTCGCGGGGCCGTAGGGTTCGTTCATTCTCCTCGCGCGTTGCTGAAGCTCCTTCAAGTGTGCTGCTTGCAAGTAGCATGAGAACTGTTGTGTGAGCACCCTCTGCTCAAGGGATAGAGGCTGCAGCAACCTACACTTCCTGGAAAAATCTCTTCGTAGTGGGTAGGTTTGTTCACCACCATCTCCCACAACAAAAAAGTTGCTTAGACTTTCTTCTCTGGTGCACTTCCATGCTTTTTCCTACCATTGTACCAGAAGCAGAGAGAAGTTCTTATTCCATATATTCATATTTGCCCTTGAAACACTCCAGACTCTACCCCATTGCGTTTTTTTTCTGCTGTGGATGAAAGTTTCTTGGCAAGTCATCTTCAAAGAAATTATGACTGTGAATCCACGGGCAGAGCTGCGGAACCGCAGTGTGGGCTTCCAGGGGCTAGGAAGCACTCGGAGAGTCGGTTGTTTCTCAAAAGGGGAAGGAAGGCTTTTTGCCCTCTGCTTCCTTCGTAAGAAGGATGATTTTGCAATTAAGATGTTTGACAGAGGCAGGTGGGTTGTGCTGGTTTCTGGCCTTCCCTCACGCTCCCCATGGATGAAGTCTCTGTCTGGGTACGTTGGATGATCCTTATGATTATCTCCATGGACACAGGGACACCAGAATGGGCATAGCTTTCATGCTCCTCAACAGACAACAGGATTTTGGGTCTTAGTGCTTGGCCATAAGTTTGGAGAGACTCAGAGCTCTACAGGCATCCAGCACCTCATGGAATCCTACAACTGTTTTGTTTGGAAGGGGTCTTTAAAGGTCATCTCTTCCTGCAGTGAGCAGGGACATCTTCAACCAGATCAGCTTTCTCACAGCCCCATCCAACCTGACCTTGAATGTTTACAGGGATGGGGCTTCTACCACCTCTCCAGGCAACACATGCCAGTGTTTCATCACCCTCTTTGTAAAACATTTCATCCTAATATCTAGTCTGAATCTACCCTCTTTCAGTTTAAAATCATTACCCCTTGTTCTGTCACTACAGGCCTTATTAGTAAGTCGGTCCCCATCTTTCTTACAGGCCCCTTTTAAGGATTGAAGGGCTGCAAGAGGGTCTCCCTGGAGCCTTCTCCAGGATGAACAACCCCAACTCTCTCAGCCTGTCTTTACAGCAGAGGTTCTTCAGCCCTCTGATCATTTTTATGGCCCTCAACCACCAATACAGTAATTTCAGGCAAATGCAGAGAGGTCCTCACTGCTTACAACAAGAGGCGGAGCTATTCTTCTCCAGGTAAAGAGGATAAATCTGGGTTCCTGTTGGGGCACAATGGAGAAGGGCTGTAAGGCTGCACCATAACCAGGGCTGGGGTGCTGGTTTGGAGGCAGTCAAGCCACCATGACAAGTTGTTTTGAAAGTAGCATGCTAAGGGCAATGCTCTTATCAGATGTGCATGCAGCAAATAAAGGGTCAGATCCTGCTAGAAGCAGCAAGGTGCTGAGCAGGGCCCTGCTTGCCAGCAGCCCTAGGAGAGGAGGATACACAGCACCTTGCCAGGGCTGCTCAGAGCGGTGCAGGATGGAGTCCAACCTGTGCTTTGCTGCCTACCCACTCACTCACATCCTGTCCTGTGTGGTTAGAGCACTCTGAGCTGCAAGTGCAAAAGCTGGTAACAAAGCACAAACATCTCTGCAACCAAGCCAGAGTTTGACCTTGGCAGGTCAACCTGTTCCTAAATATAGCATCCAAATCACAAGTGTGGGATAGCACCAAGGTCTTTGTGGGCAGCAGTTCAGTGACCGGGCAGAGGACAGCCCATGGCTAAGGTCCTGGCTGGTGCTCTGGAGTCAGGTAACCTCCCACCCCTCAAGCTGGAAGCTTTGGGATGAGGCTTCCTATTCCAGCCCTGCAGTGTCACTTTTGCTTTCTAAAGGCTCAAGGGGTTCCTGGGATCCTTGGGTGCCTATGTCCTGAGGGCTGCCCATATGCCCCAGCCATCCGAGGGCTGCCTTGCTCACCACAGCAGCTCTGCTATCACAGCCCCACAGCAGTGTCCTCCTGGCAGGACTGGGGTGAATCAAATAGTGCTGGACATGTACCCTAGGGGTGGCAAAAGCCTTGGCTTTGGACTCAGTTCCTTGGGCTTGTAGACTCACTGTCCATGAGATTGAGCCCACAGGCAGCCTGGAGGCACTGTCAAGCCTCTTTAAGCCTAACTTTAGTTAGTCCTTTTTAACTTACAATTGGTGTTATCTTTGGAAAGTCTAGCCCTGGACCCCAAGCAGGGGTCTGGGCTGACACTGAGCTCCTGGAGACTATCCCTGCCACAGTGAGCTTGCTACAGGCAAAAAGCTGTTGCCTGGTGGACATCCCCAAGGACACTGCAAGCAGCTGAGGGCCATGAGGAGCACCTGCTCCCCAAAGTCCTCATCCAGTGCCTCAGCCCCACAGCAATCACCGACATTTTCCAGAGCTCTTCAGAGTTTCCTCTGAATTTAACATTCGTATTTGGGGGAAGTCTCCACATGAGAATCAAAATGACATGAGAGATCATCACTTGATCCCTTCCCCGAATCCTGAGTGTCAGGACTGAGAGGCAGCCCATAAGGTGTGAAACCACAGCAACGAGTGTTGCAGAGAGCAGCAAAAGAGGTTTTGCACAGCTATTTCTGAGCTCTGGCTGTCCCTGGCAGGCAAAACCTCTTCAAAGCCGTTTCTGGACAGCCACCATCACTGTTTCACTGAGATGAGAAGAACCTGTAGGTAAGGCCTGAAACCCAACCGCATCACCAGGCCCATCACACACACCTGGCTGGGGAGGCTAGAGCTGGCAACAGCCTTGGAGAGGCTGCTGGATACAGTGAGGAGGATGGTGAAGGACTCTGGGCTTGGGTACCCAGCACCAGACGTTGCCAGAGGGCTGACCAGCTCATGCTGCAAACCAGGAAATGGAGAGTCACTAGTCACTGGCACCTGGATGGGTAAAACTGTGTGGAAAATATGACAGTGGGGATCCTGGCAGAGTTTTGTCAGTAGGAAGGACAAGCTGGTGGCTCCTCTTCAGGAAACCGTTGGTCCACATCGGCAATCTGGCCTGTAGGAGCCACCTCCTCCACCCCACAGGGTCCTGTGGCTTCTCTGGCTCGAGCCAGGAGTCAATGCCAACAGTGCCAGATCAACCAGGAGGAGCCAGCTGAGCTCTGGGGAGAGCAGAGCCCCCTCAGGCAGTCCTGTCATCAGTGCTGTTCAGAGTCCAGGGGGACAGAGATGCTGCAGGGTGTGCAGCGGCACTGGCCTCCTGGGACATGCTCTGTTGACACCTTACTGCTTCTCATGGATGGTAGGAATTGGGGGAAAGACTCAAAAGCCTCAAAACCCATGTTATTCCACATCAGGGCCATGTAGTATCATGGTTGCACATCCTTGACTGCCTGGCTGCTGTAGGAACACATGGGAGCATAGCAGAGGTAGGACACAACCTTGGAGAAAGAGGGGCATGGTTGAGAGAAACAAAGAGCCACAGAGAGAGGACCCGACACCAGAGGGAAGAGTCTGCCTGCATGGGATAACCCCAGGGAAGGTGAAGTCACCCCTTCACCTGCTGATGAGCCCACCACTGACAAACCAACAGTTTTCTTTCATGCCCCAAACCCTCTGAATAGAACCACACCCATCCACCCATGAACCCAAACGGGCACAGTTCCTCCAGCCAGATCACCCCTGGGTGAGACGATGGGAAAATGTGATCCATCGCTTGCATTCCTATCGACCCAGCCACGGTGTTTCCGCTGATCAGCACATTGTCTCCACTTGCACTCAGCACTTAGAATTTTGTTTACTGAGAAAATATCCGGTTGCCTGCCCCAGTCATCTGTCAAAGGCATTTCTGAAGGCAGCAAGGTGAAAGCTGACGAGAAGAAAATGAGATTATTTTTTTTCTTTTTTGGGTGCCCACTGCGGTTTCATGACTAGCTCTTAAAAATGTGCTGCTCACCTCATGCGTTCTTAACAATTAACAAGAGGCAGGAGCAGTGTGGTACTAAGAACAATACGTTCAAAAAGCAGATTTTATTCTGAGTCACAAAAGGAGTTTGCCTGAGATGCCGTGGGAGAGGGGCAGAGAGGAACCTATAAGAGAAACTTAAATTAGTCCTTTCAGCACAGGGCCATGGCCAAAAGGAAAATTTGAGCTTTCCCACCATTTACTTTGTCTCTTTTTTTGATTTTTCCCTCTTCTGCATCATCTGAGCTCTTGTGTCTCCAGGACAACCCCAAGACCAGAGAGGAAGAGAGAATAGACATAGCCAGAACACCGCAGAACATCACCAGCATCCGGAGAAGGAAAAGTTGTGTTGCAGTTTCCGTTCATTTTCTACCTTCCTATGAACGAGAGAAAGCTCTTCGGAGTCCAGAGCAGCAAGAAGCAGCTCCAGGGGTAGAAGAGGGTGACAATAGTGATGGTCACATCTCTGTGGAAGAAAAGAGCAGAAGATGGTGGCTGTAGCCCTTGTGGTGGTAATGGGAGGCTGCAGCACCACTGCTCACCATGGTCCTCAGCCACGGAGACACCTGTGGATGTCAGCAAAAATCCCAGGCTCAAGCAAATGAACACGAGTTGTCCCAGGCTCCTGCTGCCCAGGAGGGAGACCAGAGCAGCCTGTGGAGCACCATCTCCGCTGCATTTTGCCCAGAGGTGTGAGGGGATGTCTGCACTTTCTCTGCCACTCTGTGGAATGGCAACAAACAATGGGAAAGAGCTGCAGGGCACAGCACTGGAGTGCTGCTGTCCCTCTGAGCTGTCCTCCTCCAAGGCCATAAACCCCTGTGTCCCCTTCTCTCCATCCCTCCTGGCCTCCCCGTCCTGCTGACCCATCCACAGATGCACCCTGAGCCAACTTTTCCCAAGGGGACCGAGGTGAGAGCAGGGAAAGGCAGAGAAACAAGCCCAAGTGACCCCGTGGAGGACGGAGGGCCCCAAATGACACCTGGCTCATGTGCCACATCCAGGCGGTGACACCAGCCTCGCTGTGCTGAGCCACGGAGAGCAGCAGCCTCTGAGGTGCTGATGCTGAGCCCTGCCGAAGCCGTGAAACCACAAATGGCACTAGAAACTTCTTGCAGCGACAGCTGCACCTACTTGTCCCAGCTTCCTAAAAATAGAGCCGGCCCGGGGAGCCCCGAACAA